AGGAGTGAAGTTAGATGCTTGCTTAAGCTTAATGAATAACAATTCTTGTGAGGCCGGTCGTTCTTGGACGGATCTTGCCCCCTTTACATAAGGGATAGGGGGAAGGTGTAGGGTCTATCATATCAAAAGGGGTGTAGAAAGAGAACCCGGCCACCTATTTCATTCGACGTTCGGAGGCAGGGGCCCGTCCGATTCGACCGACTTTTGGATAACAAGAAGGCGAGCTGATCCGCTTTGTCCAGGAAAAAGCCTAGTCAGCCACCATCCTCCTGCTTTGCTTAAGGTAGCACCTCCCGTGGTACCCAAAGCCGAGAGCATCCTCCTTCTTACTTAAGGTAGCACCTCTCGTAGTAGAGAGACTAGGCATGTCCTAATTCCTAACCTTGGATCTCCCAAAAGAAGTTGCCTCGCCATGACATTATCCCGCTTTCTCCAAACACCCTCTTGTTTAAGCAGGCAGGTGACGTAGTAGAGAGGCTGTAGGCAGGTCGCTTTCCCGACGAGCAACTTCTTTTCTCCAGACCGCCTCCTACCTTACGTGGTGGAGAGGCCCAGTACTCGTGCTTCAATGACCCCAAGCAGGCAGGTCTCGAATGTGGAGCAGGCAGCTCTCGTCCATTGAAAGCCTCATCCTCAACACCTGTCTGCGCAGCACCGGTTCGGAGATTTGATTCGTCCCGAGAGCAAGTCTTCCATCGGAGATTTGATTCTTCCCGAGAGCCACATAGCAACGATGGGACGAGCTTGGTTAAGCAAGCACCTCTCACAGTAGAGGGGATGATGATGCTCTCTGCCCTTTGGCGCTGCGATTTCCCGAGAGCCTTTTGGTGGAGAAATGGCTGCGAGGGTTTATTTTTTTTGGGTGCTGCCGAGTAGGGTAAGGCTCTAGGGTTTTAATTAGTCCAAGGGTATTTGTGCAAATTCACACTTGCGGGTGAGTTTAATCCGAAACTCATTTAATGTCCGTAACTTTCTCAATTTATGTCGAAATTTGACACCGCTTGAACTGATAGTTCACATTTTTCGTCCTCATCGATGATACGGCGGAACTTGACCCAGGGTTATAATAGTCATTTTGAATTTTGGGAAGAGCGGGGTGTAACAAATTCTTTTGTGGGAAATTCCTTTAGAATTTTCCTTTCGGGGTGGGACTGAGAGGAGAGGGAGAGATTGTTTGAAATGTTAGAAAACCTTCTGCTATCTAAGTTTGTTGCAGGTCCTAGCAGATTGGTGTGGCTTCCTACTCCAACAGTCGGCTTCATTGTACAATCTAATTACGACAACTCGCTACAGCAAGATTTCGAGGCTCAAATGACTTTTCTTCCAAGGTCGTATGACAACACTTCATCCAAGCAAAGTCTGTGTCTTTCTATGGATGGTGTTTCACAAGAGAGTCTTTAACCCATGAAAACTTAAAGAAGAAAGGAATCAACTTACCTTGTAGGTGTGCATTGTGCCTGCAAGAAGAAGAGACCATCAACATATCTTCATCAGATGCAAGTTCTAGATGGAAGTTTGAAGCAAGCTTAGACTCTTCATCAATGTTGAAAATAGCAGCAGCAGCTCTGGAGACATCTTGGGCAGAATCAAGCTTTGGCCTTACCAGAAACCGGCTGATCCTGGCCAGTGGTGTTCAAGGGTATTACTTCATTATTCTGTTGGAATGTGTGGCTTGAAATAAATTCCAGAATCTTCAAGGATACAGACTCCCCTGCCTGGCTGATTTCATATAGTGTTGGCTAATAGTGTTGAAAACCAAACCTTTCCCCTGCAGGGATCATCACCAAATGATGAAGAATGGAGGCTAGAAGTTGTGTCGACCTTTCTTTATTAGCTTAAGTGGCAGTTGTGTCAACCTCTCTTTGTTGTTGCAGCCCTTGGATTCGTTTGTGGATCCTGGAAATGCCCCTCCTTGTAATCATAAACTCTTTTTATTCTTTCTATCCTAATAATATATCACCATTACCCAAAAAAAAAGATTTTTTCCAAAGACGAGCACCTACTTTTGGTCAACATGCTTTCACCCTGTCTACAATATCGGCACTAAATATCTCAAGGTTCATAGCGATCGACTGCCATAATCAAATTATGACAGTCTCAATGTTCACCTATTTAGTTGTGCTTATTCTATTAGTGCGAGTCCATATGATTTATCCTTCTACAAGTTTGATATTCATTGGGTATTTCCAACTGCGTTTATACGAGTGAGAAGTTCTGAAATGAAGATGCTCCTTGAAGTTGTGTTAGTATTGTGGTTCTCTCTAGGCGTGTTGCTGATAGGACTCGGGCGCTTAAAGTCTCCTCCAGCCTATGATATTTATGAATAATTAGTTCCAACTGTGTTTATACGAGTGAGAAGTCCTGAAATGCAGATGCTCCTAGAAGTGGTGGCAGTATTATGGTTCTCTCTAGGCGTGTTGTTGATAGGTTTTGGGCTACTAAAGTCTCATCCAGTCGCTATATATGAATAATCAGTTCCACTGCTCTTTTGATAAAGGGATCAATTGTTTTAAGTTGTCAGATATGTATTGGAGACGGGGATTGACTTCTGAATATTTATAATGGTATTATGAAAGCAAGAGAATACAGTCAGTATGGTTGGATCCACTATGTTTACATATAGGTTGTGATTCTGCATAAATGTTGGAGTCTTGCTTTCCACGGTGCCCTATGTGGATGTGTTCTATTCTTTCCATTGAGAAGTGTTGTGGGGTACCATCATGTTTAGTTCTCTAACCATAGATTTGCAGGAGTGGTCTTGAAAGCAAAAGTTGGAACAAGAGCTATATGGGGGTTAAAACCAGATTGGGTTGAGTTACATTTGCCTGCTGTGATTGACTATATATGATGTCATGAGTTTTTCATGTGTATTATTTTTTCTCCTTCTCAATCCAAGCCTATGGATTTGTTACATGCACGAACTAGTTTAAAGGTTGGATTTTTCCCACAAGACAAGAGGTGGAGGCGGGTAACAGAATGTTAAGCATGAAAGTCTTGACTATGCAGAAAATGTTTATTTATTGTCAAAAAGAACTATCAAGTCATATATGAAAAAATAGCGGATGAGTCCTGCTTGTTGATGTCCTATTATTGGTTTAATTGTGGAACTCATGGATGCAGATGAAAATCCCTCTATAAGTCGTTGGCAGCTCATCTTCTTGGTCGTCTTATTGTTTATAGAATTTATGTTGATTTTGTTTAGGGATGGGTTGGTTGATTCTAAACTTGTCATGATAAGGAGCATGTTCTACTTGGCAACCACTTTAAAAAACAACAGGGTTGTTAGGTATTTGCATTATACATTTGCTAGTTAATTTCCTCAACATGGTCGTGTCTCTAGTGCAAAGGGACACGCTGTCGATTACAAAAACCATACTTGATCTTGTGTTCCTTCTTCTTGCATGCCAGTTTAACCTTCTGAATAAAGAGACTCGATTAGTGTTTTTTGTAGGCAAATCAAATGGGAAAGTTCAAACTCAGATTTTTATTCTTTTCAGTTTGGATTGAAACAAGTTGGATTGTTGTTGGCCTTCAAACCGAGTCTGCAGAGAAAATTCTAGAAGAGTTGATTTGGTCTTGTTGGTATTATAGTGCTGTTAACACCGTTTCCTATTGATCCTTTATCGTCTTTGGTGTAAAATGGATTGAAATTCTTGAAGTTGAGATCTGTCTTTGCTCATCTTCCCCAAGCTGCAGATTGCATAGAATGGTTGTTTTCACTGTTCAGCCATCCTTTGGATAGTTTAACTTCACAGACCTGTATATGATGTCGTATTCCCCTGAAACCTATAACTGACAGCATTTGGAAGGGTAGCACGTCTGGTACCTGTCTGGTTTCTGCACCTCATTTAACGTCACTCTCCTGGACACCGGTAACAATGCTTGTTTTGGAAAATTCTATATGAAAGTTCTATTTTGGTCTAGAAGGAAGCTTTGTGTTGCCCTAGTCTTTTGTCTTATTGGATTGCGTAAGGAGTTTCTCCACTTTGAAGTGAGGTCATTTTGGATGGATCTCTCCTTTCCAAGTTCCAAACGAGACAGTTCGCCACAATTCTATGAATCACTCATTGATTCTTCTCCTGGGATGGAGTGTATTATATCATGCTATAGTTTGTGATAGAACCTGAGATTAGGGTTCTATCGAGAATTGGGGATTTAGGGAATAAGAACAGAATTAGGGATTTGAGAAGAGAAAGATAGAGAATCGGCCTAGGCCTTTAGAGGGATTGGGAATGAGAATTGAGAGGATTGGGAGAATAGGGTTTTGTAGAGTTTTCTTATTATTCTTCTTGACTACCCATTACGTAAACCCCAATTATATATTTATAATGAAAGACTAGAAAAACCTAATAAACTATCCTAATATGACTCAAATACTACTAACCATAATAATAAATCCTGATAATTAATATAATGATAAAGATAGAAGCCCGAATAAATCGTGTTTCTATCATCCCCTCCCCCTTGACACCAACCTTGCCCTCAAGGTTGACCGACTCGATCACTTTCTTCACGTCTCCCAAGTCATACGCACATTTGCTCCTCCATATCGTGCGCTTTCTTTTCTTCCAATCGTGCTCTATTCCTTGAACGAATCCCACCCCAACAACTACGACTCTCATTGCTTCTTCTCCAACCATGTGGCTCAGACCGCATCCATGGCCAATTGACCCTCTAACTCCACCAAGTAAGAAATAGAGAGTTTTTCTTCTTTGAGCACATCATCCAAGCCCATCAATTCTCCCTTCTTCTCTTTCAAGCCCATACAATAATAAACATATTCAACTAAACAGCTCCGCCGAAGCCCAATTGAAGCATGCAGCTTCCCATGCTTCAGCCCGAATTCCATCATCTGCTCGGCCTCCTTCTTTCTCAGCTGCGGCCCGAGGCTTGGCCCAAACGAAGCCCACTTCATCTCAATCCTCAGCCCATTTTGCGGATACACTCGGTCCAAAGCAGACCCGCCTAGCTTCCCCTCCAAAACCAGCCCGTGGCCAAGGCTAATGGCTTCGACCCGGCCCACTCCCGTTGACCCATCCAGACCTATGGCCCAGACCACCCAACCCATCGGGGCCGCTAGCAGTTGCGGCGCAACCTAGGGTTGCAAGAGGGGGCAACCTGTCGCCCTTCTCCTCTCCCAAGTTCGGCGACTGCTTCTTCCTCCTTAGCTCGCCTCCCGTCTCCGTCGTTGCGCCTCTCCCCGGCAGCCAGCAGCTCCTCCCACGGCAATGAGGCGAGCTCCGCTCTACCATCTCCTTCAGCTCCTCCCTCCGGTTCGTCGTCACTTCGAAGAAAGCCGCACCGCCCGCCAGAGGAGCACTGCCTCCGTCTCTCTTCTCCATTTCCGGCGATGGTTTCTCCTGCGACCCTCGCGTCTCCGGCGATGGATCACGACCTCCCATCCTCGCCTCTTCCCTGTCCCTTCCGAACAGGGACTCGACGTTAGCCGTCATCATTCACGGCACCCCTTTCTCGATTCGTGTCTCCGGCAGCTAGCCCCCTCCGGGCTTCACCTCTAGCCCTGGCGTCGCGCGAGGAAGCTCCTCGCCAACTACTTCCGCCTAGGTCGGTGCCGCCCAGCCACGCGGCGCGTCCTTGAGCGCCACCACCGCCGCGGCCGCCACCCCACACCCTGCGGCCTCGCCGCCAGCACCGGACTCCGCTCACCCTGCAGCCACCCCGGCGCCGCCGCTACCGCTTGCCGCCGCCAACGCTGCGCTCGCCCTGACCTCCCCGCCGTCGCACTGCAGCTCCCCCGCTCGCGGTTGGCACTTCGTCTCTGCCTGCCGACAACGGTCGTCGCCCTCCTTGCATCGCCACCATCATGGCGTGGAGATCATCGAGCCGGCACCACACCCGCCGGGACTCCTCTGACCGCTCTTGGCGTTCACCCTCGACCAGAGCCACGAGAGCACTGAGGCGGGTCTGCGCCATCTTGATCGTCTTTGCTCTGATACCAAATGATAGAACCTGAGATTAGGGTTCTATCGAGAATTGAGGATTTAGAGATTAAGAACAGAATTAGGGATTTGAGAAGAGAAAGATAGAGAATCGGCCTAGGCCTTTAGGGATTGGGAATGAGAATTGAGAGGATTGGGAGAATAGGGTTTTGGAGAGTTTTCTTATTATTCTTCTTGATTGCCCATTACGTAAACCCCAATTACATATTTATAATGAAAGACTAGAAAAACCTAATAAACTATCCTAATATGACTCAAATACTACTAACCATAATAATAAATCATGATAATTGATATAATGATAAAGATAGAAGCCCGAATAAATCATGTTTCTATCAGTTTGTCTATCAGATTACCATTGCCCTAATCTTCTTGTTCTTTATCGACCCTACTATTAGAATCGTAGGACACAGTTGTGCTTATCCTTGATCCGCAGCTATTGTCGAACATTACAGTTGAAGTGAATATGAAGTCCTCGGGGTTCTGGAAGGGATGACTTTATGCTTGGTGTTGGATGGCTTCCCTGGTTCCTTCAAGAATGCAATACATGTTTTAATACTTTATAACCCTTAGCATTGCAAAGGTCTTCCATGGGAAGGTAAAAGACCCTCAGGTCAATTCAGACCGGATTGATTTGCTTGGTTGTTTCTTGGATCCTAATTATGCTTCCATTTTTATGTTGCTAAAACCTAAATAAACTACTTGTAATAAGCTAAAGCTATATCTTCTGTCAGTCCTTGCATTCCCATGAGCTTAAGGATCGTTTGGAGAATATGATTTTAAATCTATAGATTGTCAACAATCTAAAGATTCTAACTTTTTATATTGTTGAAAATAGATTTTACAATGTTTATTGTTTGTAACTATGATTGTTAACATTCAATAAAAATAAAATAAAATTAATTTTATATTAAGTAGCATGTTTATCCTTAATAAAAATTAGAGTGTTTCGAGAAATATTAAAAAATTTGTTGGTAAATATAGTTAACATGATAAATAAATAAAAGAAAGAGAAAAGTAGGAGAAAAAAATCTCACGAATCAAGATACATAATCTCTCTGATTATGAGAGATTTGATATCCGTAGATTTTAGAGATTTGAAATCTCTAAAAATAAAATTCACAATACAAAGAGAAACAAAAAAAACATAACTTTCTAAAAAATCTACGGATTCGATGAATCCACGCCCTAAATCCCGTTCTCCAAACGACCCCTTAGTTTGGTTGCCTACTTCTGTTTCCCTTAGAAGATCTGTGGTTTTGTACAGTTTGGTTCTCTTCCTTTCAACAGAGGATTTTGTTTCTTTTGAAGGGGTTTGGTTTATTGGGTTTTCTTCATGCATATTGGTGACGAGACTGTATCTCCTGGATCTGAGAGCTCATTCATCCTCCTCGTACTAGATATAAAGCTACCCAGAACCATGATCGAGGCAATCCGTTCAAAAGCTACGGATCTTCTATTGCTTATTGGGCAATCCATCTGGGTAATTATAATGAATGTTGACACAACTTATCACTTAGTACAAAATGGTCATTAAATTTTAATTTTGTACGTTTCAACAAAACACATTTGGACAAATAACAAAAGGATCATTCCGTCTATTTTCGTCTAAAAATCTGTGAACTTTATTTGATCAACATGTCACATGACTAAAATTATTAATAAAAAATGAACTTAACCAAACAATAGAGCCACTCGAACTCAACCCCCCACCCCACCCTTTCTTCTCTCCGTCCCTGTTCCTCCATTCCTCCAAAACAAGAATTTCAGAATCGATCCCTTCTTCTTCCCTATTCCCATTACAACCGCCATATGGGTTTCAGAACACTGCTAATTATTAGTAAATCAATAAGTTGACTAATTAAAAAGAATGCAGAAAAATATGACTAATAAGTACTTAATTAGTATTTATTCTTATTTTAACATTTAACGGCTGAAATAGAGTCAAGTATTATGGTGCTAACCATCTAAGGAGTTAGCAACTAATCCCAATCCATGTGCACGCTCTAGGCAATCTAGACAACATGAATACGTAAACCTGATAGAGATTATCAAATATCAATACGCCTTGTGTAGAATTGTTCACAACATAATAAGTTGAAACATTCCTAACCAAGAAGTGCGTTGAAGGTAGAACTTACCACTATTTTGAAGGGTGTGAGTGTCTGTTTGATTGATTTGACTTTAACATCGGATGGACAGCATCAAAGACAGCAAGATGATGACAAGGATGTTGTATATACTATTTAGGAGCTGAAATTGCTCGTTGCTGCATGAGCAAGATTTTATTTCGATCGCCAATTTAGCAATGTCGTCAGTAGTTAGGGAATGATCAAACAACCAACTTAAAGCAAAAGTGAAGCATTTGAATCTCAAAGTCCCTGTATCATGGATCTCCCTCTAAGCTATACACGCCCCCAATCTTACATGTAGTCAAGACAACCATGTTGATGCTAAGGACATCTAGCTCATCTTCAACGATGTACACGAGTATTTATAGATAAGTGAAGTGAATATGGAGGTGGTGGTGTGAGAGCTGAGTCGAGTTTCCAGTTCCATCCTAGCTTCAGAGATCTGAGCATCGACCTGAAGTGGTTCCCTGGGGGCATTGGATGTTAAATTTATGGTATCAATGAGGACCTGGTTCAATGAAGGTGAGGCCATAATGTCATAATGGTGTAGGCAGCGAGCTCCATCTGGGGTTTGCGAGAATCAACAACCTGCCCGTCGCTTGGATGCACCCCGTGCAGCTGAAGCACCTGCATAGAGTGATGCTTCCAAGTTGGCAACTCCTGCGGACGATCCTCCCAATTATCGTAGTAGTACAAATGTATGAACAGTTGGCGCAACATTGGAGCTGCCCTCAGCAGGGCCATGCACTCCAACATACTTGTATCAGCAATTTCTATATATATAGACAAATCCAACACTGTGTGAGCTTCTCAAATAGCAACCACTTAGGAGGCCGAGCAGATAGAGGTTCAAAGTTATAAGTGATAAATTCGTACTTGAGAAACTATAATTGAGGCGCAAACTTGTTGAATTCAGGCTGAGACCACGGGAAGTAGCAGTCATCATCGGACTGGACGTGTCTACAAAAATCAATCTCCCGAAGTTGAGGGATGTTGTCCCCAAATTCGACCCTTGGCACGAGTGGTTCTCCTCCCACCTTCAAACTGTGAAGACCAGGGGCAGAAACGATTTCAATCCTACTGACATTGTGGAACTCTTCTTCTGGACACCAAAATGTCAGCGTCTGGAGCTTGTCGTTGTTGGGACGACAAATTCTGATGACTGTATCCCTGTCGTGGAAGGAGCAATTGTTGAGAGACAGTTGCTGCAGTGAGGGAGTAGTGTGACAAAGACATGATCCAGATTTCCTCCAGGAATCTTGGACAAGCCCTGAAATTCCAAAACCTCGAGGCGGCTGGGGTCTTTCTTGCGGAACAAGAGACATAGTAGGGTAAGCCATTTGACTCTCTCAACCAGACCGAATTGGATCCACCTCCACCCAGCCCCTTTCATCTCGGTCAGCTTGAACACTATCTTCAACTCGTCCAGTTTGGTTTTGGATTGTCGGATCAAACCGATGGCTTGGTCGACTCTGTCCACGAACCTGCCGCCGCTGCGACTCGGATCTCATGTCGTCGTTGTCAGACTTGTTGAAATCGAGAACCGCGCTATCGATCAACTGCCACATGTACCTCCACTGTTTCCCCAGCAGGCTGCTGCATCTCGCCACTTCGTTCATTGTGGTTGCCGACCGAGAAAGTATCCCCACTGTCATCAACCAGTTGGTCCCAATAACTCGAGTTGTTGGGAGAAGTTCAATCGTGGATCATATACCACAATACTAACACGCCCCCTCAAACGAAAGCCACTCACAAGTGCTTGAAGTTTGCACAGGTCTGAAGACAAGAATACCATGTGCTTAACAAATGGGGGTCATCGGGAATCGAACACAAGACCTTTCGGTCACACAAGGCTCTGATACCATGTCATGAACCAGTTGATCCCAATAACTCGAGTTGTTGGGAGAAGGTTATACGGGATCTTATACAGGCTTGTGTATGGTGCTTAACCACTTCCTTACACGCTCCCTCAAACGAAAGCCGACTCATGGGCTTGAAGTTTGCACAGGCCCGCCATACCATGTGCTTGAAAGACAACGATTAATATTGGGAGTCGTGAGGACTTGAACACGTGACCTCAAGGACAAACCAGCTCTGATACCATGTCATCAACCAGTTGATCCAAATAACTCGAGTTGTTGGGAGAAGTTCAATCGTGGATCATATACCACAACACTAACGCCCACCACTAACTCATCGGGCAGTTTTGAGAATTGGTCAGTTGTTGCCTCTTCGCCGCCGCCGACCACCTGTGTCGCCATTCCCAAGTTGTTTCTCCTCTTTTTCCCTTGTTCCTCTTCAAAGATCGTCATGCTACTTTCTTCGCCAAAAGACACGACCTCTATCCCCATACCTTACTGTTATATGTCCTGGCCAAAGAACATGTTTCGTTTCCTTTTTTGTTGTTGCCCTTCTCATCCTCGGACTCGGACACTGACGTAAGTGCGTTGGATCGCATAATTCGGTGATCACAGCCGTTGGATAATATTTTGGCTAGTAGGCAGTTGAAATTTCGGTCATTTTTGTGACTGCTAAAGTACTCAGTTCAGGGAAATACTGGTATAAGAAGGAAAGTCCATTAAACCCAGAGTTACCTAAAATTTTCAGCTCTTCTGCTTTCCTTGATCTGATAATCATATATGTCATACACTCTGTTCATGATCTTCTACAGTTGAATGTAGAGAAAAGACATTATCTCCAGACCCAGAGCCACACAATGCCTTCCAGATAGGAACCAACATCTTCAAAGGCAGGTGCAACTCCTGAACAACCAAAGTTCATGTCACCGCTCAATATCATGTACAATAAAATCTGGTGCACATTCATCTAAACGATTCTAGAT